CTCTACTTTTAAACATGTTTGGAAGATGAGTAGTTTGAGTCTTGGTTTGGTTCAGGGCCTTCTTGGTTCATGACGTTTCTAACCCCGTTTCTTAGCCTTGACCTAACTCTATCTCTAACCTTAACCCTAACACCATCTCTAAGTCAGCAACGACCTAACTGTAAATCTAACTTTATACTTAACCCTTATATTAACTCTAAACTTTAACCAAACTTTAACACTGACTCACACCAGAGCCTTAATCTTAGTTAGTTCAACCCCGGGTTGATCAGCTGAGGATCCGGTGAATAAAGGACTGTCATATAAAACACTGATCAGAGCTTGTTGTACCTTCTCAGTGGTCTATATCATTTCATTGCTTCGTAGGTGGCTTCCAGCTGTAATAAACCTGGCCAAAATGCTGTCAGCATCCCAGACTCCACCGGTCTAGCCAAAAATCTAAATAGCTCCAAAGAGTTTCTAGCTTGAGCCATCTTCTTTAAGTGGATTCTTCATTGTCCCTTGTTTTACTTTGTTAAACCGTCCAAGTGCAGAGTGGATTTTCAGGAGTGGCACTCAATGGACCAAGAAGCATGAGAATTATTATGTCTTTTGTTATCATGAACCCTGTCCCCTTTTTAAATACTATGGTTATTGTGTGCACAGGAAGGATCGCATGAATCCGAGCACAGTACCACCAACGCTAAACCAACACGGCTGCGTTCACTAGACACTTTTCGAGGGTACGTACTCCATTACAAAACTGTCCTGTTTGTCCATCTATCACCACACACCATCGCTCACACTGGTCATTGTTGTCATTTTGAAGCAGTCTGAGGCATAATGATGATCTACAGGCCCTGCTTTAAGAATGATTACAGGGTCACAGACTGGACACATGCTCCCTCAAGCCTCTGTTATCGGGCGGCGCAGCTTTTGCCATGATTTCTGATGGCGGTGTGTCTCGGGCTTGGACAGTGTGTTTCTGTCGGGGCAGGAGTGATGCATGTGATTGAATCTGGACTCCCTGCTAGCCTTAATTGTGGCCTGGGGCTAGACACAAAGCATGGCTCTCTGGAAACAGGATGCTGGTGTGGCTTTGACCTCCCCCTCACCAAATAATTGATGCAGTAATACCGTCAACATATCAGCACACATCCACACAGTCATAGATCTCTCGCCAAAATGGAAAGGGTGAGGAAATCCAGTAGCACAGAGGAGACTGGCACCTCTTCATTGTGAAAACCACCATGTATTTAGTGAGAAGTCAATGCTGGCTTTTGTATTTTGACCCAAAGATCCGCTGCACTTCTTTTTCACAAACGTGTTTTTATACCACTCCAGTCCTTCAAGCAGATATTTTTCTCCTAATACTTGTTTCTAAGGTTTGTTTGAACTTTAAGTTCCTGAACTTGAATCGAGGTAAATCATTTACACAAATATTTCCCAAGATTCGAGGAAAAAAACGTGGCATTTTAATTGAATTTGCCCCCAGTCAATCAAACCGCTGTAGTTCAATCTCATCAGCTGAAATGCCAGTCTTTGGTCCAGTTGTTTAATTCTCATTGATATCTTGATTGAAATCTTTAAGCACACTTCATCAACGTGTGACTCAGCACATTTAGGATTAACGCAGCTGACTTATGAGCCATACCTCGGATAATTAACAACTTTCTGCAGAGAACAGACACATCAGTCATCTGCCATAAATGCTGAGACATTTCTGAAGGCAAGAGACTTTTCTGGTGAGCTGAAAGGTTTTCCTGTTCATTGCTCAGGCTCCACTGACATGATATACAGAGTTCTGTGGGGTGCAGTTGCACGTTAATTTTTCTAAAAGGATCTGGATTTTAATCTTGTCGCTCGGCTAAAAGCCTGTTGCTGTTTTGCCCACAGTTGAAAATTGCAGCGTCAGTAGTTAGCAGTGCCATACAACAGAGGGGACAAGTATTACATCAAAACAATGGACTGCAGACCGCTTTCAGATCCAGGTGGCAGATTCATTTTGTGCTTTACTTTGACTGAACTCCAGACCTTAACTCCGCTCTGGTTTCAGACATGCTCTAATGTTTAGCCTCAAAAGAACTTTGGTATTTCCTCCCAACATGTTATTATGGCTAGATTGAGGAGCAGAGGCCATCACTGTAGGTAACACATTACTAATCATCAGGTGTGACCAACAGACCCACCCAGTGGGTCACAGTATCCTGTGACTTTTTCCTTTTCTGTAACTATATAGTATAAAGTAACTATATAGTATAAATATAGGAACTATATTTTGGCTTTTGGACTGTTTTTGTTTATTACTGTATAGGTTTTTTGGTTAAAAGAATGTAATAATTAGTTTTGCTTACTAACGATATATTCTTTTGGCATTGTTTTTTTTTAGTCAAAATTCATCGTTAATGGTATCTATATGCTAATATATATATCTATTTTGGTGAAAAACTGGTAAAAAAAAGTTTGAGCTTTGTTTTGGATAACTAGGCATTTTGCTATTTTAGGCTAACTTTGAAATAAGTTTTATAACTTATCAATAATTTCTTTTAAAAATTTGAATAACTTTTTTAGTATATATAGTATAGTGTATATATATTTATACATATATATATCTATATATATAATTTATTTTATATTGTTTGTTTTTTTGTTTTTTAGTATTTTTGAGCTACCTGTATAGCTAACATCAAAGGCAAAGTATATGCCTGTTGGTCTCATTGAACTCTTAAGAATCAAAGGAGATCAAAGGACTCTTCCCGTATGACATTGTCAAATCTCCCCCACCCCTATATTGCAACAGGAAAACACACGAGGCTTCTCCTCTAATTGCTAATGCAGGTGCAGTGATTCAGGCCTGGAGTCCATCAGTGTCAATCAGTCCATCATATTCTGTTGTCAGTGCTGCAGGATTCTAGACACGTTTTGAATGTTCGTAATCTGTTAGCAGTAACTCATACCCACACTGACTTCTGGACATGAATTAAGTCTATTACTAAAGTGACAAATGTTCAATAGAGAGCTATAGAAGGATTATTTACAGCTTCAACCTGCGTATGACCTGTGGTAGACGCCTGGGCTGTTTCAGCCTGGACAGTGTCTGTTGCTGTACAGCATATTCTCCAACCTTTTGTTCTCCAAGAGCTACTTTTACAAAATAAAAATGGCTGAGAGCTACTCATGTTATGTAGCATTTATTTTCATAGCTCACCAAACAAATTCAATAAGCTTTCTTTCCCACATTTACAATATGTTACTGTCCACATTTATTTATATTTAAATATAACCAAATTATTATTAATATTTTTACTATTATTACCAATGACTAATCAAGGTTGACAGCAGCACAGGTTTTTGATTGATAGCTAAATGGCAAATAAATGTTTTTTCCTGAAAGGGGGTGGGACAACTGTCCATTTGGATTGCATGCAAATGTAAGCAGACTTGCTGAGGGGCCAGTTAGGTTTACAAATGCTTGTTGATTCATTAGCCCTTTGACGAGCTACTGGTAGCTTGCAAGTGATGCGTTGGAGACGGTGTGCTCTGGAACTGCACTGTGTCTAATATAGTGGTTTTAGAACACATCAGATTAATAAAGCACTTGTATTAGTTCAGTAATTATTAAGTGTAATACTTGTGCAGGGCATTTATAATGTAATTTGCCTATAATGGAGCTCTTGTTCTAAATAAGACACCGCGGGTGTTTTAATCAGAAATATGGCCAATTATCCATAAGACGAAGTGATTTTACACCAGACTCATCTGGCTCATGATTTAACCTTTGTCTTTGTCACTATGGCAACTAATGGATGTGTTCGTCAAAATTAAACGAGAGTGTGTGTGGGGGGTGGGGGCGGGCAGAGAGAGTACACGGACAGGGACACGATGGCTTAGTCTACTTTAATAGGCCCTTCTGAGATGATAGTGGACGATTAAAATCTTGTATCAGCAGGTTGGGGCTAAAAGAGCAGTAATGGCTTTTGGTGCAAGTCTTAATTTAATCTAAGCAGGGAAACAAGAGGAGGCAGAGGTAGATACAGCGCTCCTTATCAGATAGTCTCCTTCTCGGAGGTTGCACTAATCTCCTTCTCCCTCTTAAAGACTCCCTTATGAATTTGTTTTGTTGTTCAGATGAAATACTAAACATCGGTTTAAAACATTAACTATAATATTTCAGATGGGACTCTCCCACTGCTCGCAGCCCCGTGGCCCTTCACCCTCCCAGCCCTGTACTGGAGCTTGTGTTGTGTAACGACACCCGGTCATTTTCATACATGCATCACAAACAGGTTTTTCTTTTTTTCCCCCCAGTGTTTGGTTCAGTGAAGCACTCTGTCACGTGTGCCGTTCTCCAGCGGCTCCTGCACAGCCACTGCTAAAGTATAGAGTGTATCATATATTAGCCCCAAAGCCTTTAGTCAGCACTCCTGCTTGAGGAGATCCAGAGGACAAGTGTTCATTTCCTGAGTGATTCATAATGCTTAGATTGCATTACCCTGCGTTTGGAGCGAGCCTTTTTAACGTTATATCAGACGTTGAATTTGAATCAGAATCAAAGTATAGTTTGATCAGAAGATTGTCATTAATGATGGCTTTAATGTAACATCGAGGGAAAACAATATTACCTCATTGAGAAGATTTCATTCCTGAGGATTGATTCCTGCATCATTATTTATTTATTTATTTATTACTTTTTTACAAAAACAATGTGCTCAATGAACCCCATGTTGAGAACATAGTGTTAGTAAAACAATGCAGTAGTCAAGAACCTGATTGGGAAGAATCCTCAGTGAAACACACAGGTCACAGAAAAAAGGATCAAATTAAAAAAAAAAAATTCTGTTCAGATCTAAAAAAAATAACATCAGAATCACCAGCCAAGGACCTCCTGGAATTGAAGCTGTTAACAAAAGACTGTTCTTATAGGTCTCAGCTTTTTTTTTTTTTTTCTTGTCGGGACTCACCCAAGACGAACAATAACAGAACAGAAACAACCTGATAAGAGTTTAACCAGAGTTTGTTCTCTGGAGACAGATAAAACTTCAACTTTTTTGGTCACAGAGATGTTGTCTGTTTGTTGAGGAAGATAAAAGTAGAAAACCTCAAATACTGTCCACATATATAGGTATTTTAGGATTAATTTTAATGGTGAAGAAATACAGAAAATAAACACTTCAACAGGTCTGACTGGCTCTGGTTCTAAAATGTGAAGGAAATAATTCTGACATTGTCATTTTGTTATCTTGATATAAAAAATATATTTCTGTGCAAAAGAAGATTTGATGTGAGGTGATCATTTGAGTTTTGACTGTATATTTTATGTCCATTTTACTAAGTTGACTTCCTCTCTCTCCCTCTGTGTCTGTTTAGTTTTTCCCTCACGGTGATGGTGTTTGTAAACTACGGTGGAGGAGGCTACTGGTTCTTTCAGCATGCACCATGGAATGGTCAAGTCAAGTCACAAACCAGCCTCCAGACAAACACACAAACACACAAACACACCAGGGGTTACTAAGAGAATGTTAAATGTGTTTCTTTAGTGACCACATATATTTAAATATACTGCCATTAAATTCTGATTGATTGTGAATTAAAATTATGAGCAAACAGCGCATACAGCAGAGAGTCAGACTTAACTTTTTAATTATTTATTAGTTAAAGGATTCCACTAGTTTGCCTGTCAAGATGGATGGGTACTGTATGAAAGCAATCGTTTCAGGTGTGTTATTTAATGGCTGCCTTTTCCATGCCACGTCTGCATCCTTTTCTGCCTTGTTGGCACTAATGATGATAAATGCTGTCTGGAAGTGAACCCACAGGATGCTGTTTTTCGTATGAGCCAAATCAAAGCACTAATCCATAGATGTTGATAGTTATTAACAACAGGAGAAGAAAGGAGGAGGAGGAGAGTGATGTGAATTATAGCACAGAGAATACTGAAAAATGTAGTGAACATGACTCTCAGCTGCTTCAAATACTTATATATATTTATTTTTAGTCATCTGTAACTGGGTCACTTTCCTCAAACTGTTTGCTGGATCATTTGTTACCTGTGTTTGGATGTTGAAGGGCGTGTCCAATTTAAATTTAATCTTAGTTTCCTCTGCTACACTTACAATACCGTATCGATTCCATGTGAGGTTTGATTGATGCATTTTCTTTTTCTACTCGGCTGCTGCCAAAACAGGAGGGAAAATATTTATAAATCACACATTTTGAAAATGGACAGTTCATAATAGGAGTGGCATTTTGAGGACATCACTCTGATCTTTCCCAAAATAACAGAAATGATTTATGGTATAATGGATGTGTGATGTTGTTTTGTGTCTTTGGGTTTGTTTTCAGGTTTAACCGTGGCAGATCTGGTCATGCCCTGGTACGTTAACCAGAAGGATTTTATAAATGGGATCCATATTAGCGCACATAGTTTTGAATAAAAGTTATATTTATAATGTTATAGTTGGCAGTGGTGATGCTGTCCTCTTTTTCAGGTTTGTGTTCATCATTGGGACCTCGGTGGTCTTTGCTTTTAAATCCCTGCAGAGGAGAGGCCTGAGCTACCTCCAGCTGCTGCGGAAAGTCACCTGGAGAACAGCCGTCCTCCTCCTGCTGGGCTTCTGTTTTCTCAACTACTCTCCTAAAGATGGACCACGTAAGTGAGAAACATCTGACATTGATATGAATGTTGATATTTTATGTCAAGCACAGTTTCAGTTCCAATCTGTCATATTAAAAATAAAATGATACCTAAATTTTAAGAAAGATCAGATTAAACCTGAAGTCTTAGTTATAAATAAGAATCAATAAAATTGTTATTGAATCAATATAAAATAATCAAATAATTCTATGATTTTCAAAACTATACTCAATGTAATGTATTATAATGTATCTTCTTACCCCCATAATAGTCAAAAATGTAGCAATCTTAAGAACGTAGCCAAAAATCACCTGTAGTTAGAGTTAGCATTAGCACTAAAAGTTCAAAGAGATATAGCTTAATAGCAAACTCTTCATTAAAGATACCAGATTAACTTACTACTATAGTAGTATAGTATAGTAGTATAGTATAGTAGTATTAACTTACTACTTTAGTAGTAAGTTAAAATAACAGTCCAGTTTATAACTGCCCATAATAAAGATAGCAAAATAATTGAAGGTCAGCAAAGGTGAAGCAAAATTTGAACCACCAAAAATTTACCCTTTTACAACAATTTAACTACATTGGTTTCTGTCCACATGCAAGACTTTACGATCCCTATCAAAAATCCTCCGTGTGAATTAAAGAATCCCATGGTCTTCTATGGAGTCTATGTGGAGTACATTAGATTTATTCCCACTACAAAGTTGACAAAAGCCAGTCTTTTCTGTGTTGGAGGTAAAAGTGGGTGAAAATCCTCATTTCACTGTTCACCTGGGGAGGCAGAAAATGCCTCTCACACATTAGCTGTTTCCAGCACTAATGGACTTTTATGGGTGGGTGTCTACATAACTGGGTTAACAAAAATATTGTTGTTATATGTGCAGTCTCAAAATCCTACACCTAGGGACATTTAACAGAGGCAGATTGAGCAAAAACAACCGCTGTGGTAATGGACAATTATAAACAGATAGTGTTACACAGGCTTCACCTCCCCCACCCCCCTCCTCCCCTGCCCCCGCTCCTGCTGCTCCTGCTGCTGCTGCTGCTGCTGCTGCTCGAGCTGCTCACAACAACCCAGTGACTTTCACCATGTACTGCAGCTTTGCCCTCCGTCTCCAAGGACGTCCTGGGCAGTTCAGATCCAGGGTTTGATCTAATAAGAGAATGGAGACGCATCAGCTCAATGTTAAACCATTCTAGAGTCAGATGAGACAGAGATGGTGTTAACCTTTAACCCTAACTATGAGTCACTTCAAATAACACCGACCAGGGTCCAGATTGGTATCTAGGTAGTGTGAATGGCCCAAGCACTCGTATCCCCTTTGTTGGGATAAAAAAAAAAGAAGAAGAAAAACAGATTTAAATTAGAGACAAAAAAGTCATTATTCTCTGTATGAAAACTATACATCATTAAATCCCCCCTTGAATAATTCCACACATAGATTATAACAACAGATTTTCAATTTTAGATCACAGTCAAATTTACAGTTTAATAGCAGTTAACTGAAGAAATATTTCACACAGAAAACAGATTATTGGAGTACTAATTAAGTTTAGAAACTAGTGGATCATTAACATAACTCTTTACCCTGTAATCAGTTTTTCTTCTTAGTTTGACACTGAGATGAAAATGAGAAGTTAATGTTTTACTCAGTCAATCACTGCAAGCGCTCAGGAATGGAAATGAAATAATCATTCGACTGTAAAATAAACATTTAACATTAGAAAGGTTTCAACTTCAAGCGAAAAACAATTGGAGAGAACGTGTTGTCGTGTCGAGTTGGTTTTAAAACTTTATCCTTCACTGTTTATTTTTTGAAGTGACATCTCTGTGAGGAGACGGAGACTAAAGAACCTCAGACGTGTGCTGCATACTTAACAAATGTTCCATCACCGAGAGCTTCCTCTTTTCCCGTGAAAAGATAGATTTCCTCTTCTTATTCGATTTGAGCAGATCAATGATTGCGATTGCGTTGTTATTGCACCACATTGTGTGGCAAAGAGGTTTTCAATTAACTAATGTGTAGATAACCATCGATCTCACCACCACGATCCCAGACATACCCGGCCCAATTTGTGGAGACCAAGAGATAAGTGGGAATCTTTGACGAGCGTCCCACCTCTGTGACATGATCACATCCTGAACACTGACACCATTCCTGTCCACCACCTCCTGCAGGAGGCACGAGCAGCAGACCAATTAAAAAGGCACGATTGGGCTCAATATGAGGAAATGTATGAGTTTAACTCCGCTCAAAGCAGCAGCGATAATGTTTTACAGTGACTTATGATTTTGTGCTTTATGCAGTTTGCCTTGTAAATTGTCTTCAGTCTTTGGCAAGTCCAGGAAGCAAAAACAAAAGTGCCAAGATGTCAGTCTGTGGTGAGCAGGCAGTCATTTTATCAGTCACTCTGACTAAGCGCCCCTTATTTTTATAGTAATAACTCTACCCTTGAAGGATATTTTAATTATTATTTTTCAGCTAGTCATCTATCTGCAGTCGTTTGAAGAGGACGTTGACGTGTTCATAATGTGTGCTGTTGACTGTGTTGTAGTGTCCTGCTCCTGGCTGAGGATCCCTGGAGTGCTGCAGCGTCTGGGCTTCACCTACTTTGTTCTGTCCCTCCTGCAGACTTTCTGGAGTCATAAAGAGATCCCGCTGACATCAGTGAGCAGTCCTGTCAAATTCAATTTCACAAACACACACCAGGGAGAGACCCCCCCCCCCCCCCCCCCCCCCCCCCCATGAACATTATTGCTAAAGCACACTAACATCCGTCTGTACTTTCCACATAGAGCATCAGGTGATCTGTCCCACATGCAAAAAGTTGACATATTTTATTGTCAGGTTTTTACTCACACAAATGTACAATAAGGTTATTAATCAAATCGAAAATCTGACTTTTAACCAAATTTGAATAAAAACATGTTAAAATGAACCTTTGCAACAGGTTTTAATCAAATTCAGGTACAACAGTTCTTTGAGGTTCATATACATATATATACACACATTGATATATATATACAATTTCTCAGTACAATTATGATTAAATTTCTCTAACTGCTGTTGTGGATCATTCAATAGATGGTATGCATTTAAAAAATAAAACAATTGTACCTTATTTTTATAATCGAAATCATTTTCACGTGTATTAGACACAGTTTCCTTTTTTTTTTTTGCAACCAGCCGAGCTACTTCCAGTCAACGTTAAGCTCCTCTAGTTAAAAATGAATGACTACATGGCTGCACCCTCTTCTAATAAATATCATCCGAGGGTGCAGAAGTGTATTTGGTCGTGAGCCAAATTATATTACCAGCGGAGGCCCTCATGTTTTAACAATGTGTATCTTTTGGAGACTTAATAATAACTGCACCAACTCTATGGCATGATGAAAATCCAGAATTGGACAAATAAACTCTATTGAAATTTGATGGAAAAATAAAGTTTCATCCTACTCTGTTTAGAACCTGATATGATGATTAGATCTTTATACCATGAGATATACTTTATATGACTAAATCTTAAAGGCAGCTGCTTAATAAAAAAGACTAACTACTCCTTTAGTTAACTTCCAGGGCTGAACACCTACTCCTATATCTACTGTGCAGTTAAATGATTTTGTCTGTTTAAAAATTCAATACATTCAAGTCATCAGAAGCCATTGTAGCCCAGTCAAAACACCTGTGCAGTGTGGTGTTTGAATGTGCGTTCTCTAACGTTCTCTGTTGTTGTTGCAGTATCACTTGTGGAACTCCTTCCAGGATTTGGTTCTGTACTGGCCACAGTGGGTGGTCATCCTCCTGCTGGAGACTCTGTGGCTGTGCCTTACCTTCCAAATGCCTGTGCCCAACTGCCCCAAGTGAGAAAAACATTTTACCAAAAGCACCTGAAAAAATAAATAGTCAATGAATTCATGTACTGTACGTGTGGAAAATGTGTAAAGATTCCAAGGACTTTAATCGTCATGCGTCCACCGCTGTAGCCGAGGTGTTTCTGTGTAGCCTGTCTTCCTGCTGTTATGAACCAGTGTGATTTATTGCCCAGTGGAGGATGTTTCAGGAGCATAATTATCCAATCTCAGTCTGTCATGTGCAGTGAGAGCAGCACAGGCACAGGATCCATCATCTTCTCTGTGCTTCCTGTACAGTGTGGGCTTTTGTTGTGTGTTTCTGCAGCAGTGACAGTGTGTATTTGAACAGCTGCATTTAAAACGGAATCTTTGTGGTCTGATGTTTTTTGTAAATAAGTGAAGAAAGGTGATAAATGCTGTCCTTTAGTTTGAAAAAGTAACTTCTCAGAAAGTTATTTTTTGCCTTAATTAACTTTAAGTTAAAAAAACATATAATTTATATACCTTATATACTGTATGTGTAAACATGGGTGTCTTTGAACTTCTCACGCCTCCTTTCTGTTATCAGAGGGTATTTAGGAGCTGGAGGAATTGGAGATAATGGTCTTTACCCAAACTGTACAGGAGGTGCAGCAGGATACATCGACAGACTGGTGTTTGGTGACAACATGTACAGATATCCAACATGCAGAGTAAGAGCCTCAGATTTTCTTTAATCCATTGAAAATGGAGACATGATGAAAACATTTCATTTTTTATTTTTTCAGGAACTGTATCGTACTACAATACCGTTTGACCCAGAGGGAATTCTGGGTACAATAAACTCCATCGTCATGGGATTCCTGGGGATGCAGGTGAGACGAGTTGACTTTGTATATACCTTTGACCAAAAACAAAAAGTTGGAAGTATCATTTCTAAAATGTTTTAATGCATTACATTAACCAGCACAGCAGTCACACAACAACACTGTGGGATAGATAGAGAAGTTTTGTGTGTTTTTTTGCTAGTTGCAAAATGTGTCAGTGTGTTTGCTGTTATCAAGAAATTACTAAAAACATAAAAATAAAAACAAATATTACTTAGATTAAATTTTAAAGAAGAAAAAAATTTGAAGAATTGCAAATTAGTTCAAAGTTAAGTAAAGATAAAAACTGGTGACGAGGTAGTTTCAGAACAGAAATTATGTCCTGTTGGTTAAGCCAACATATTTATTAAAGAAACAAAAAAAAAAACACCTAGGACACAAATGTTTATTAAGCGGCACATTACCATCATTTATTAGATTAATTACGACGGGCTGTAAAAACTGTCTGTACCTAAACCAAGGTTATGTGAAAGACTCCTTCCCGCCTAATTGTAAATGCACAGCTGCTCTGCTTTATTGACAAAATGATGTCAGAAAGTGAGGCGAGAGCTTTTTGGTCGTTAGACCTGGCTCTGCAATAGCGACGGCGTCACTTATAACCATTTGTGCGGTGGGAAGTTGCCAGGCAAAAGCAGCAACATTGCTGAATTCCCAGTGGGCGGTTAGCGCTGAGCCCTTCAGTCAACGAGTCTTAGACGACACGCCAGGTGTCCACCGCCCTCCTCTGTGTTCCACCATGCTAATGTCCTCAGCTGAAATTCATTCATCATCACCAAATTAATCAGAAGGTGCAGATGACTCAAACGCCACATCTGTCCTGGCCGGAGAGTAGAACTGTGGACGTCACAACAGGGACACAATGTTGACACCCACGTCCCAGGACTATTTGGTTACTGAAGGACAAATACTCAGGGAAACAACTTGTTTACACGGTATTTCTCATTAAATGGTTGATTGAAAAACTTCTCCGTCTTCTTATCTCTTTCTCCACAGGCCGGGAAAATTATCATTTTCTACAAGGAGAGAAATAGCCACATACTCTGCCGATTCCTTGTCTGGGCCATAATACTGGTATGTCACTTAAAATTAAAAAATGCAATTAAGATAACCTATCACATATCACTAATCAATTATTACTAAGCACTGGTTTAGGAGCCAAAAATGTGTCATTAGAGGTATATTTGGGCTCAGTAATAAAAATGCCCTTCATAACCAACTTTTTTGTTAAGAGAAATCAAACAAAACCAAGTTGAAAAAATGATTTTTTAAATCACTTAACTTGAATTTAGCAGCTGGACCTGAAATTGTTTATAATTTTGCTAAATCACCAGCACATATTTTTAAAAATGTTCAGAAAACAATGGACATGATTTGTGCTTATTCTCTGAATTCAACCTAGAGGAATCTGCAATATTTTTGTTCAGACTTTTGATTTTTTAATATTTCTAATTTTTTGTTGCCAACTTCAAAGTTTAAGTAAAAACAAACCAACACCATCTCGCACCTCAGGGGAATCACACAGACACCGGACTCTGATTCCTTGGCCTGGCAGGTGAAGTATTAGCCACAGTGGACCAGGCGCTTCATTAGCAGCTCTTACTGTAGTAGAGGGTTCGTGTGTGTGATCTCAGTACAACCAAACAACATCCGTGTGTCCAGCTGTGTTTCCGGGCAGACATGACTATCCAGCACCTCGGGGGGATACACACTGTGTCTCACTGCCCCTCTGTACCTCACATGTGGTTTTACATCACAAGTGTTGTTCATATTACTGACGGAAATCTACAGTCGCACAATCCGAATTCTTTTGTTTACCCGTAACTCTTCCGTTTTCCCCCAGCTTGTAACTGAGTTCAAACCGCATTGACGGAAAACTTGTTCCTCTCCCTCCACGATCATGACAAACACGAACCAGGCAACAGTTTCCTCACTTGTTCTGTGCTGTTCTCTGAGTCCAATCTGATTTAAAAATGGACAAAACAATGTGTCAGACACAATGTGTTTTGGGGAATAACAACCTCAACAGGAAGTTTACAATGATGGGGAGATCATCACCAGCTCAGGCGAGGTACCAGGGATAAAGAAGCGTTTCATCAAGCCGTATCTTTTCCACTGGCTTCCATGGAGTGTTCGGCAGATTAAAGCTTAGTTGCATTTTAAACACTGTACACAATACGTCTTTGCAATCAGGTTCATGGCATAGTGGTGAGGTATCTTGCCTTACAGCCAGTTCAAACTGAAACTGATGCTTCATCAATGTGGAGTTCCTACAGGGTTCCTCCCACATTTAAAAAAATATATAAATTAGATAAATGTAAAGTTCTAAATTTTCCTAAGGTGTGGGTTTTTTCTTAGAAATGTCCCATAATATTCTTTTTCTTTTTATGTCTCTGTACCTCATATGAAATTAAAACACACTTTTTCTTCATTTAAAAAGTGAAAACAAAATTAATGGTCAGGGCTGAGAATTTACTAATAAAAATCTAATAAATAATATGGACTTCTCAGATAGTGTACTGCAAACTGCTGCCAATGTTTTCACTTCAATTAGTTTTTAAAAAAAATACAGTCAAAAATGGCAGAAGTTTCACAATGTAATTCATTAGTCCAATTGTACATCTGGCTTTAGACCTGTGCTCATTCTGGGTGGTCTAAAAGTCCATGTGAAACAAGTTGGCTCTTACATTAATTCAGAGGGACAGCGTGTCCCACAGGGAGGAGGGTGGTGTTGGAGGAGATGGCCCGTTTTGCATTTGAAAACCTGCGACAGAAGGTTAAGGTCTGCACTTACAGGATTGAGAGGCTTCAGTAAAATAAAGGCCAGACATGGCTGCACCGTTTGCCTGTTGTTTTATGGTCACACAGTGACATGCAGCTGAGGCGCAGCTTGTTTTGCGGAGTGTGGTTAGTGGGAGCCTGTGTGCTGTGGAGGCAGACTTCCTGAGCTGGCAGTGCTGTGACCTGAAGCGATGACGGAGCTGCAGGAGCTGGCTGAAACACTCGGCCTTTGATATCAAAGAGTTCAGCGTGTGAGAAAGAGGCCAAACAATGTCGAGGGAAAAAAGGAGCTGGAGATTTCAGGGTTCATAGCTGATGTTTGCTACTGTATTTTGCATTTTTTCTATAATATCACTAACTATAAAAGTAGTTTCTAATATTGACATCTTTTAGGGAACATGGGTAAAATGTTAACAGTGGCAAACTAAAATAATAAAATATCATTGGACACAACAGTAAAAGCAGTTCTCATATCCAATTGAATGAGCATTTCTGAGAAAATGTGGAATGTTTTCCTCAAACCACACCATACATAACTATATCAATTTTCCGGGTGCAGATTTTGTTATTTGAATGCTTTTACCAGTTCTGCCTATACGACTGGTGTATTTGTTTGCATTTAAATATC